ATTGAAGACACCGACAGGGAGGCCGGTGGCAGCAGCAGTGCCTGAGGCAGCAGGAGCTGCAAGGGATCCCCGAGCCAGGGAAGACTGGTGGGGATCGAAGACACCGGCAGGGAAGCCGGCAGCGGGGGCAGGAGCTGTGGGGAATCCCTGTGCCAAAGAAGCCCAGCAGGGATCAAAAGAGCCGACAGGGAGAGTTGGCGTGGGAGCACTTAGGAGAGGCTACGGGGCTGCAGCCGCAAGGCAGAGGCAGGTCCCAGAGGGGAAGAAGGAGACCCTGACTAGGGTGGAGGCATGGACCCCAACCCAGACAGTGTGCTTGCTTAGGGGTGTTAGGGGACTAAGGGAGTATGAGACACTTCCCGTGATTCCCCTTGTCTGTTTTGTTCTTCCCCGTCTCATTGTTCTTGTAGTCAGGGTATCAGTTTTGTTTTTCATGTCGGGTTGCTTCTGGGGCCGGGGCTTTACGTTGGTGAAGGTATTCAATTGTGTTTTCCTTTTTTCGGGCTGTTCTATTTTAGTTTCCTGTCTAGTGCAGGTTAGCGTAGCCCTCCGTCCCAGGCTGGGGTAGCAGTGACCCCGGTCAAAGGCAGGAAAGAGACCACAAGAGAGCACGAAGAGGAGCAGCGGCATCTCCCGTAGATAGTGCAGGGCATTGGAAGAGATATCTCCAAAGGCCGCATGTCACCAGACCCTCTGGGTCCAGTCAGAGCTCAAGGCGCCCATCGGCGAGGAAGGACCTGGGGACCAGGAAGATATCAATGGGGAATAGCCACTAAAGATCTTGAGGCTCGTTTAGAAGGTTGGCGTGTGGCCGGGGGGTAGGGAAGGTTGGAGCCCCGGAAACATCCACTGGGACGCGTGACCACTCTGGAGGCACCCTTAAAGGAGACCCCCTTCACTGAAAGACCATCCAAAGTCATGGCAGGTGAGTTTGCGGGACACCCCGAAGGTAATCAAGGTACCCTCTGGGGTCTACGTGAGGTTCCCTGGTGAAGACGGTCAGCTGCCCGGGCAAAGGTGGTGTCACAGAGCACTTAGGTGCCCTGCTCCTAAGAGTAGAGGGGAAAAAAAAAAAACTGCTGGGGAAAGAGCCCTAGCAGTGAGTGAGGAGCCCAGCTGTGGGTTGCCAGGGCAACCAGAGGGCGCTAGTGGCCCACACCTGCCAGAGGTCAGCTGACCAGAAGGGGCAGGGCCTGGCTCCCATATAAACCCCACGGGCTGAGGCCAGGATGGTAGTTCCCTGCTGGCAGCCAAGGGGGAAGGAGCTCTGCTGGAGCAGACAAAGAGGAGAGGCCAGACTGCACCAGCAGCCTGATACTGGTGAGAGTTGGAGCACCCTTGGGGTGACTTGAAGGATGTTTCAGGCAAGCGGATAGAATTTATGTTATAGCCCAGGGGCTTGTGTTTTGTGTTTACTGTTTAATAACTGGTGGCTTGAGTGAGGCTATAAGGGGATGGAGGAGGCCTCGTAGGGGTCTCACAATAATGTGGGAACCCCAGCCCCAGAGAGAGGGTGCAGCAGTTGAGAAGCCCCAGAGAGAGGGGACAGCAGTTGAGAAGCCCCAGAGCAGGGTCAGCATTTGGGGGATACACTGACCCCAGGCACCAGAGAAGGCGCAGCACATTGCAGGGCAGTGGAGAGCCCAGGCGCCAAAGAAGGTGCAGAGCGAGACAGGGCCGTGGAGGGCCCAAGTGCCAGGAGAGCGCAGTGAGAAAATAGGGGCTGCGGAGAGCCCAGTGAGGACAAGGGGGCTAAATTGTAAACAGGCCCAGACCGGACAATGTCAGTTCCATCTGCGAGGCTTGGGGTGCGGTAAAGGGGTGGGTGGAGCCACGGACTTGGAGTACATCAAAAACCGTGTCCAAGGAGATGTAAAGGCAGCCTCCCTAACATATTCTAATATCAAAGATGTGGCAGGCGAGAATTGAGGGTGCCCTTTGGGCCAGCTTGGCATGGGAAAGGGACCTTGGGGAGTTCACAGCCATCCTGCAAGACCCCGCGCCGTGACAGGCGGCTTGGGAGCAAGCCTTCAAGCAGAGACGGTCACAAAGTGGTGCATTGGCAGGGAATATGGAGAACCCCGACTTGGCGGCCTACGCCAATATGCAACCAGCAGCCATGGCCCCTACAGCTATCCTTGGACAGAACCTACATGTCCTAATCCAGATCTTAGACTCGCAGCAGCAGATGATGGACCGCCAGCAGGACTGGCTCCAGCACAGCCTGGCGTCGTTTAAAATGCCGAAGTTGACTGGGGATGATGACCCAGAGGCCTACATTGAGGCATTCGAATGCCACGCCCTCATGACAGGGCTTGACAAAGTGTATTGGGCTAGCCAACTAGGAGCGCTAGTGGTGGGCAAAGCCCAGGCCGCATACAAAGCCCTCCCGAGAGACGACGCCTGCAATTACGAACGCATGAAGGCGGCCATCCTGTACAGGTTGGAGATCAATCCAGAACATTACCGCCAGCTGTTCCGGGCCAAGAAAGGGCCCGATGAGAGAGGCGGCCTATGGTACTGTTACAACTGCTGCGGGATCTACTAGACAAATGAGTAAATCCGGAGGGACACCACCGAGAGGCCCTGGTGGATCAGACCCTCCTGGAGCAGTTTCAAAACGACCTGGTGGAGCGGACACAGCGCTGGGTTCACCAGCACTCACCGTGCACATGTGATGAGTTGGCAGAGGCCTGAAGTTGGCAGAGGCCTTCGCTACATCCGAGGCCAGCTACCCCCAGGAGAGACGGAACCCTGGACCCCTTTCGGTAGCGCCAAAGGAGCTTGAGCGTAGGCATCCGCCCAACCTGGGGGCAACTAAGGATACCGTATGCTTCCGGTGTGGGCGGAATGGCCACTTCTCGAGGGAATGTCCTAGTAACCCCACTGAAAGTTGGCTCCCCGATAACAGGCCTAGGTCATAAGTAGAGGGACAGAGAGAACTCGAGCCAAGTGAGCCCATGGATTGCAGCTATACGGTCGGGGGAGAAGATGTTACGTGGAGTCGCCCCGTTGTCAATGCCTGGGTGGAGGGACATCCCATACAGACTACATTAGACTCAGGATGTGCCCAGTCCTTAGTGAGGGCTGACTTGCTGCAGCCTCAGGGCGGGCAAAGGGCCAACCTGGTGAAGGTGGCATGCCTCCATGGAGAGGCCAAGTGGATTAATCGACAGTGGGTATGCCTCCGCGTAATGGAGCATCAAGGAGAGCTCCTGGTGGGGATAGTGCCCCAGCTAGCCTGCAAGATGCTGCTAGGCCGGGACTGGGCACCGCTGTACGACACCCTGGATAGGGTACGCGATGCTGAAGAGGCGCATAAGAGGATACGGAGCCATGAGGGGTGGTTGGGCAAAGTGGAGGAGAGCAAAGGATCGGCGGACGAAGCAGAGGATATTGACCTCAGTGGCATCGCCAGCAGCCTACAGTTCCAGGAAGCGCAGGAGGAAGACTCGGAACTTAGGATGCTTCAGACACAGGCCTGAGATGCCGGAGACGACCCGATCCCACCGACCGATGACACTCCACGCTTCGAGGTAAGAAACCAACTTCTTTTCCATGTTCAAGTGGACAGGCGGGATGGAACTGAAGGCATGAAGCTAGTGGTGCCTGCCCGGTTCCGTCAGGTCATATGACGGTTGGCGCATTCTAGCCCTGCTGGAGGGCATCTGGGGCGAGACAAAACCATCGCAAGGCAAGGTGGTTTTTCTGGTCGGGGTGGGGGAGGAGGTAGCCTGGCAATGTGCAGCCTGCCCCGAATGTCAGAAAACGAGGGCCAACCACCCTGCACAGGCTCCCCTCCAACCCATGCCGGTCATAGATGTACCTCTCACAGATACCTTTGGACATCATAGGGCCTCTTCCTCGCAGCAGCGCTGGGCATCAGTACATATTGGTCTTCATGGACTATGCCACCCGGTACCCAGAGGCTGCCCCGCGGATTGCCAAAGAATGGATAAAGTGGATAGCAAGGATGGGGATACCAAAGGAAATGCTAACTGACCAGGGGCGAAATTTTATGTCTGGGGTACCGAGGGTGGTGTGCCGCACCCTGCGGATTAAACATCTACGCACGTCAGTGTACCACCCCCAAACCAACGGCCTGGTGGAACGCCTTAACGGTACGATAGAGGATATTACGGCGTTGCATACAAGGGGATCCCCGGAAGTGGGACCTGCTCCTACCACTGTTGTTATTCACCATCCAAGATACCCCTAAAGACACAACAAAGTACTCCCCATTCGAGTTTGTGTTACGACATTGCCCAAGGAGCCTTTTACAGGTCCTGAGGGAGGAATGGGAGCAGGATGCAGGACATGCCCAACTGCCAACCGCCTACCAACAGGAATTCCAACAGAGAATAAGAATGGCCCAGGGCCTGGCGTGCAAAAATATGCGTGAAGCGCAGACCCACCAGAAGGAGAGATACAATAGTCATGCTAAAGAAAGAGCATTCGAGCCAGGACAGAAGGTACTGGTACTCCTTCCTACGTCCACGATCAAGCTTGTAACTCAGTGGTAAGGGCCATTCGAAATAACCTGGAAAGTGGGGCCGGTGGACTATGAGGTGCATCGGCCAGGTCACCTGTGAGAGAGGCAAATTTATCACGTGAACCTCCTCCGAAAATGGCGAGAACCTGAAGGGTGAGCCGCCTTTACGGACGCCGACAATGAAGACCTGGGACCCCGGGGGACAGCCAGAGGGGACGTCCCCTCTAAGGCAAAGACCCAGATCAAAATAGGGGAGGAACTGTCCCCTTATCAGAGACAGGAGGCTCAAGCCTTAGTAAAAGAGTTTCGGGATGTGTTCCACGAGGAACCCGGATGGGTCCGGGACACTTTCCATGCCATAAAGACCCCACCCAGGGCAATAGTGAGAGAGAGGTGGAGGCCCGTTCCCCACCACCTCCTAGAAGCAGTCCGTAAGGAGACTGACTCAATGCTGGAGCAAAGGGTCATACGACCTTCAAGGAGCCCCTGGAGGAGCCCTCTAGGCCCGATGCACAAGCCGGACAGGTCCTTGAGGCTATGCGTCGACTATAGGCTAAACACCACGGTGGTCTTCGACACGCTCCCCATGCCACATGTGGCTGAATTAGTAGAATGCATCGGGAACACCCAGTACATCATGACCCTCGACCTCGTGAAGGGGTACTGGCAGATCCCCACAGCCAGGGAAGATCAGCTGAAGACCGCATTCCGGACCCCGTGGGGACTCTACGAATTCATGAGGATGCCATTTGGGCTCCACGGCGCAGCCGCAACGTTTCAGCGCCTGATGGACTGGGTCTTAGCACCTCACGTGGAATACACTGCGGCGTATATAGACGACATTGTCGTGTTCTCGCAGACACGGGCCCAACATAGGAAGGCCCTCAGAGCCATCTTGCCCGAGTTAAGGCAAGCTGGGCCAACAGCAAACCCATGGAAGTGTGCCCTCACTCAAAAGGAGACCAAATATCTGGGGGTTTTGGTCGGGAGGGGCACTATCAGACCCCTGGCAGACAAGGTGGAGACGATTTGCAGCTTTACCACCCCTCAAACCTGCCGTCAGCTCAGATCCTTCCTGGGGTTAACTAAATACTATCGACGGTTTGTACCCCACTTTTCAGAGCTGGCTGCACCCCTGTCGGAGGCTCTTAGAGGACAGAAAACAGGGACTATAAAGGTGGACGGAAGAAATGTCCCGGAATTTTGAGTTGCTAAAATGGGCTCTGTGCGAGGACGTCATAATACACACGGCTGACTTCTGGAAACCTTTTGTCTTGCAGACCAATGCCTCAGAGACAGCAGTTAGAGCCGTCCTCACCCAGGAGGAAGAGGGGGCAGAGAGACCAGTTGCCTACACCAGCCGCAAACTACTACCAGCAGAAACAAGGTACGCAACGATCGAGCAACTGTGTCTGGCAATTTGGTGGGTGGTGGACCATTTCAGGTATTACCTGATGGGTACAGTGTTCAAGCTGGTGACAGACCATGCCCCCTTAAGGCGGCTGAGCACGGCCAAGACAGACAATGCCCAGATTACACGGTGGGCCCTAGCTCTTCAGCCATGTAAATTCCACATAGTACACCGGCCAGGGAAAGCTAATGTGGTGGCGGATTTTCTATCCAGGTGTACAGACGAAGCCCAGACTGATGACCCAAAAAGCCAAGCCGAGGAGATCACCAACCTACCAGGTATGGCCCATAGGCTGGACAACGAAGCATCCCAAGGCATCGGGGGGGGGGGTTCTGTCCCAGGGACACAGGGTCAGGCAAGGGGGAAGCCTCGGTCAGAGGCAGACCCCAGATCAAAGAAAAAGAAAAAAATCCATACCTGCTGCAGGGGCCCGGGGCAACAAGGAGGCGTGCTGCAGAAAACTGCCCAAGCGGTTTATCAGCCATGCCCATCTCCAGCTGGGGCCAGGTGACGCAACAAGGAGGCATCTCTTGGTGAAGATAAAAAATCAGCCCGGAAAGTGCAGGAGCAGGGACACCGAGGGCCAGAGGACCAGTGGGGAACTGCCGGATGGAGAGCATCCAGCCACTGTTGGCAGCAGCAGCGGCTGCAGGAGCTGTAAAGGATCCCTGAGCCGGGGAAGACCAGCGGGGATTGAAGACGCTGGCAGGGAAGCCAGTAGCGGCAGCAGGAGCTGCAGGGAATCCCTGTGCCGAAGAAGTCCGGCGGGGATCAAAACAGCCGACAGGGAGAGCCGGCATGGGAGCGCTTACGAGAGGCAACGGGGGCTGCAGCCACAAGGCAGAGGCAGGTCCCAGAGGGGAAGAAGGAGACCCCGGCTGGGGTGGAGTCATGGACCCCGACTCTGAGGGCGCGCTTGCTTAGGGCGTTAGGGGACTAAGGGAGTACGGGACACTTCCCCGTGATTCCCCTTGTCTGTTTTGTCCTTCCCAGTCTCATTGTTCTTGTAGTCAGGGTATCAGTTTTGTTTCTCGCGTTGGGTTGCTTCTGGGGCTGGGGCTTTACGTTGGTGAAGGTATTCAATTGTGTTTTCCTTTTTTCGGGCTGTTCTATTTTAGTTTCCTGTCTAGTGCAGGTTAGCGTAGCCCTCTGTCCCAGGCTGGGGTAGCAGTGACCCCAGTCAAAGGCGGGAAAGAGACCATGAGAGAGCACGAAGAGGAGCAGCGGCATCTCCCGTAGATCGCACAGGGTGTTGGAAGGGACATCTCCAAAGGCCGCATGTCACCAGACCCTCTGGGTCCAATCAGAGCCCAAGGTACCCGTCGGTGAGGAAAGACGTGGGGACTGGGAAGATATCAACGGGGAATAGCCGCTAAAGATCTTGAGGCTCGTCTAGAAGGTTGGCGTATGGCCGGGGTGGAGGGGAGGTTGGAGCCCCAGAGACATCCTCTGGGACACATGACCACTTTGAAGGCACCCTCAAAGGGGACCCCCCTTCACTGAAAGACCATCCAAAGTTGTGGCAGGCAAGTTTGCGGGACACCCCGAAGGTAATCAAGGTACCCTCTGGGGTCTACACGAGGTTCCCTGGTGAAGAAGGTCAGCTGCCCGGGCAAAGGCGGCTCGGGAGCAAGCCTTCGAGCGGAGACGGGCACAATTAAAAATGTACCTGCTCTAACTTCTTGTACTTCCATAATTAATAACCCTCTATCCTTTTGAATAGGAATGTTCTTTTACATAATTAGGTTATCGATTTCAGCTACCCTTTGGTAGCTACTTCTGTTAACTTCTTTGCCCCACAGATTTACTGCTTTCTCTTTCTTTGACTATTTTCATTTACATTAATGGGAAAGTAATTGTTTTATCTGGTATTTATCTTACACCTTATCTGCTGCTTTCCCTGATGTAAAGGAAAAGTACTTTCTGCTAAAAAAACTCGTCTAATATCTCTCCCAAGTATACAGTTGGTCCAATAAGGGATATATTACCAAAACAAACAAGACTTCACGTCTCACATGAACCCCTAGGTCAGATTTGGGTGTGTTATTGAAGGGGATTATTAAAGAGAAGTATGCAACTAGAAATGGTCATTATTGGAGAAAAATTCCCCATGGTTTATATTGGAGAGCAAAGAGTAATGTTAGGAGCCAGATGTCCTTGGATGTGCTTGTCAATTAAATCTTTCACCATGTAGATAGTTACCCAACAAGAGATGCTATCAGACTTTCCATTACTAAATAATAGAAAGGCTAGTTGTAGAAAATAAATTTTGTATCATGTGATCACAAGTTAGGTAAAGGTCAGTTGTAACAAACTAACCAAAAAAATTCCCTGATAAGCTAAATTAATTTTCTAAACAAAGATTATATCACATGTCTATTTGAATAAAGCATTTGATACAACCCTACAAAGGACACTTAGTAAAACTGGAGTAGAGAAATTGTAAATGAGATAAGGAGGTAATGTTTAAAAAGAGGAAGTACCAGCTGGAGAGTGGTTCCAGAAGAGTTCAGCAATGAGTACTGGGACCAATATTTATTTATTATTATTAATTTATTATTATTTATTTATTTATTAGACGTACCAATTAAACTTGATGACAAGTTTGGCATACAAGAGGAACAGAAAGAAAGATCAAGAAAACTCTTAGGACTGAAGAGATTTGACTGCTCTCTCTAAATAGTGCTTTTTCCCCCTGTGTATTTAGGTTAAGGTGACATTGTTGACACAAGGATAAGCGAGCATGAATACAGGAAGTTAAAAAGGTTTCTAACCATTATGCCAATCAATCAGAAAGAGGTAGTTTGCCCTCTCCTCCCACTGAAAAGCTGTTCCAGAACGTAAAAGACAGAACTCAGTAGATTTAAGGATTATTACACTGTGTCTGTGATAGCATGGGAGTGGATCCTATGATCCAAGAGGTTTCTTCCTGTCCTACGTTCAGTGAACACACTGTATGCAGTGCACCTTTACTTCTTGGATCAAACACCACTATGTCTCTGTGCGTCTGCATACCAGCAAACATGCAGCTGCTGTTTGAGCTCATTCCCATCCTGTGAACTGTGTTCACAAGTGCCACAGTAATGCATTTCACTAAAGACTGTATTAAGGGAAAGTCTATAACTTGTCCTCATCTGTGCATTAGAATGAATTGGCAAGAGAAATTTTCACATGAGTAGGAAAACTGATCAATAAAGGGTTGGTTCTGTCCAGAGACTTGACAGCTAATTCACAGCAGAAAATGAGGAATTTTGTTTCTAAAACACACATGCCTTATTGCAGTTATGAACCCTTGGCTTCCTTTTATCATGGTGAAGATGTGGGACATTCCAAACTATATATTTCCAGATGCTGCTGCTAAACATTATATTAATTTATTTTCTCACTGCAGTATAGTTTGTTCCACCCATCTCTTAATAACCAACTAGAAAACCAGAGTGATGCAGGCATGGCTAGGCCTGTTGATGGGGCTTGGATTATAAACGCATGCTAACTAACAAGCATATTGTCAGATGCAGCTGGCATATCTAGAGCCAACACTAACGTGTTTTTCATATGGCCCACTGAGAATTTTACAGCAGCTGTAACAAACATCTGTGACAAAAGTGGACTCTTGGTTCCTCAGATCTAAATAAAGGGGGGAAAACTATATTTAGTACCTAAAGAGATGAGCATATCAGATTCCTTCTTGGCAGTTCACTATGGGGCAGAGTTAACAAAAATACAGGGCGATGCTGAGTTAAAGGCAATAAAAAAGTTAAAACTTGCTGCATTAGAAGTAGGGTTTTGCACTGGTATTTAAAAATTGTTTTATATCCATCCCCATTAGTAGGGCAAAGGAAAAAAAAATAGCTAATTGGTACTTCTGTAGCCTCTCCTGTTCAAGTACTGCACAAAAGGTATCATCTAACGTACCTTAAGTTAGCAGTTATCCACATTTTATAAGTTAGCATTTCATCCGCAAGCTATATAATCCAGGGCTGGCTTCCAGACTGCTTTCTAAGTCTTTATTTCATTTGTGCTGTGGTGCTTGTTTAAAAACATAGAGCATACTCCAAATCTCTACTACATCTATAATTTGACCCACATTAAAGTGCATCTTCAGCTCCAAATCAGTAGTTTCCTCTCCTCTTTTTTTTTTTTTTTTTTGTGAAAATGCAAGTATTTAGCTCTAGGATTTTTGGAGGAATGAGACCCACTGACCTTTGCAGAAGTTTATCATGTAAGCTGGTTTGAAGTCTTCTAGAATGAGGAGCAGGTATATTTAGGAAAGAAAGTAGAAGAATAATCTTATAAAGTACTGCACTGCACATAAGAGAGGAAGTTACTTTGCTGCAGAACCAACAGCTGTTCCAGGAATCTACAAATCACTGGATCTTTCTAGGCACTACATGGACATCAACCTTTAGTGTTTATCTAGGCTGCTTGCTTTCTTCTAACATGCCTTCTTCTATGCAAGTCTGTGTATGGGATAGCATTGGATTTGGACAAGTTGGTTCCAGTTTGCACCATTTAAAAGGAGGTTGCTTGTTGGTGTCTAGAGGTCTTTGAGACAGATATCACTTAATCATTTAAAGTTGTGTGTACTGGAAACACACCTAGAGAGTACTTGGAAATTAAATCCATAGGCACAACACACAGCTAAAGGAGTCACCTGGCCCCACCTGGCTCCAGCTGGGGCCAGGTGACGCAACAAGGAGGCACACTACACCCACACAATATTTCCTATTCTAATGTTAGATCCGTGATGGAAGCTAGGAATAGTTTAACATAAAGTACAGTCATCTTGGGGACACAGTTGTCAGATTTAAGGATCTGAAGTTATACAGGTGGCTATAAAAGGATGGGAAGTGAATAGATCAATATTATGAGACCTAGTCATTCTTTAAGGTATTAAAATTAAATGGGAGAACTGTTTGCAAGAATAGTCCAATGATTTAAGCCATGCAGCAACATCATGGGCTCCTGAGGCATCTATTAGGCAACACCTGCATCAGAAAGGAAAAGTTAAGAAAGATACCACTGACATGAATAAAATAAAATCTTACTACCGGTAAAGGTCAGACTAAACAGAAATAAGACTTCTAGTATGGTCCCATTTTGAAAGGTGTAAAGCAGAATGCCTTGCCAGGTTTAAGCACAGAATTGCAATAACATCGATTTACAGCTATCGTGTCTCACTGGATTAAGGAATAGAATTTGTCAGTATTGGATTTATATCCTTTAGGAGTCTTTGAAGACTTGATTTACACAAGCGTGTTTCCATTTAATGAATAAGGTGATCAAAGTGATTCACCCCACTCGCATTAAATTAAAAACTGGTTCAGGAAAGCAACTTTGACCTTTAGTAGTGGCACAACAGAAGCCCCAAGAGAGTTCTACTAATTGGCTTTGATCCACACAAGACCATATTATCATTTTGAGAATATGACCACATTTGCTAAGCCATGTGGCAGGTATCTTACATGCCTATGAGTACACCCAGAGTCTGTTCAAATCCAGATGTTCCCTATATAAAATTTGGGTTTAAAACTATTTCTTGGGGCTCTTACTAGATTGCTTTATTCAAACTTCTGCTTATTCAGCTTCTAATAATAAATAAAGCAACCTGGAAATGACAATAACACCCCCAACCAGCTAGCATTTGAAAAACTGAAGGAAGCTCAATATATATTGTTTAATGTTTTTGACAAACCAGGGGAGGAGCTAGTTTCATGCTAAGAAAATGAAGTGAAAAGTAATATCTGAAAAGCGTCAGTCAGGTTGTACTCAGACTACAGTGACGTGCTTTCTTGGAGGAAGATTAAGATCACAGATGAAGCTCTCACATCTGAAAAAATGGAAAGAAGCCTCTAGATGCCCCTTACAAAAAGGAGTGGGTGCACTGCCTGACTTCACTGACAGCAGCCAGTACCATATGTTTCAGAGGAAAGTATTAAAAAAAAAAACTCAGCAGGAGGCAGTGTCAGGCTAGTCTACCACAAAATGCAGGATGGCTTACAACCTTTACAAAGAAAAGAAGAAACAACCCACAAAACCACCAGCACTCTTGGAAGTGTTTTTTTTCCCTTTTTTTCATCTTCCCCACTTTTATCTCTGCATAGCACTAAATATGAATAAATAATACCATGTCCACTCCTTTTCTAACTCCTGCAAAGTTCTTAGCCAGTGACAACCTGAAAGAGTGAGTTCTACACACTAACTTTCCTTGTGTTGAAGAGAGTATTCTTTTCAGCTTTGTATGCCATTCTACAATTTCAATTGATGTCCCCTTTTGATAGAGGACAAAGAGAAGGAGCAAACAGTGAGATGTCAGATCTTTCGGTATTCTTTTATCATGTTCTTTTGTGGACACACTGTTAGGCTAGAAACATACATTTCAGATAAGACTGTATACAAGCACAAGTTGTATTTTAGAATTGTAAATATATCGTTGCATAGTGAAGCATGATATGCAACTACATACTTACGTTAAGGTTTGGTTTCCCAAAATTCTCAGACCAATTCTATGTTAAATAGGCAAGACAGAACAGTAGCTTAGAGACTTTCAAAGAAGCATAAGTTTATGGGTCAATACCAAAAACGGTCCAGGTTAGGAAGCAAGATTCCTAAGAGCCAAATCTTTCCCAGAACATTAAGTCTTCCCTAATGATACCTTTTGTAGTAGTCTAGCTATGAGACAGACAACTGTCCTGGTGCCAGTTAGGCACTTTTAGTTCTGACTGCAGGAGGAGAGATTGTTTCTGTTGTTGCTGGGCAGCATAAGTAACATGAGTCAGGGTGGTCATACCTGAGAATGTTTTTATATGCAATTGTGTGTATGCCCATAGGGAATGATAGTATTTTAAGAAATTGTTACATATGTATTGGGTTGTGCCTATTAAATAAGTTGCAACACTAAAATGTTAAAGTTTGGCAGAAAACACTGGACTACACCTCTGAGTGACTGGACTGAACTATGTTTTTGTCTGTTGCTGTGGAGTATGGTTCTACAGAGCCTCCAGGTGTCTGATCACAACCATAAGGAAACTGAACTCTGCTAGCAAGGTAACTAACTCACTGTTTGTTAATCTGAGCTCTCAAAGCATACTTTGATAGAGCAGAGCTCTCATCTCATCTTCAGTCTCTGCCCCTTCCTGCCATCCGATTCAAACCAAAGTTTGGGTAATACTTCCAAGAAATACAAAAGGATTGTGCTTTGTCCAGTTCCCAGGGGACACCAAAGAAAGAGACTTCTTAAATGTTCCATCTTTTTCTCCCTGGAGGGTATGTGATGTGCTCCCTATTCTTTAAACATCTTTGTGTTTAAGGCTCAGTTTTGTTTTTCTTGAAGTTTGAGGTGGGAGAAGGGGGAAGAAAAAAGTCAGTTAACTCTTCTGTAGACATTTCCAGCAAATGCTGTTTCTTCAGCACAGGGACTGGTCAAATTCAGTAGAAGCTGCTGGAAAAAAAAAACTAAATGGAGTCACACAGCTAAAGGATGATCTTCCCCTCTTGCCATTTAACTTTTTGCAAACATGGAAATACGGAGTAGTGTGGCGACTGTTAATAATTGGATGAAAGACTCATTTGATGAGAGTGATCATCAAAAGCAGCCTGGTTAAAAACCAGAAGCTATGTTAAGTACTCTTCTGCCTAAATGAAAGGAATGTTTAAACACCTTCATGGGATGCCTAGTAACTATGAAAGTATTGCCTAAGGTAATTAGTTACATTGTTTTTCTTCCAGGTTTATTTTAGGGATAATGTAGGTAGGAGGAATCTTCCTTTGTCTGCATTTTTCTAGCAGCACATGTGGAAAGATGGAAATGCTCTGCTAGTAAGGAAAAAAAAAATGAAACAGGCATTAAGAGAACGGGTAACCTTCCAGTTTATCTGGGCAGTGTGATGTGTCTGGGAACTGTATTGGTAAAGGAAAGAAATTCTTTGAGAAGCATACTTCTATAAAATATGGAGGTAGTTAGGACATGCAAAGTACTTGAGCTGAAATGACCATGTTTTATAGCTTACATTTCTAGGCTCAGAAGGAGAGCAGGTTTGACATTAAAGTAAACTGAAAGCCAGAAATTCACAGCTTGTCATTTAAAAAAACACTGCAGTGTTTAGGGTGGCATCAACCCAGATTACGTTCATTCTTTGCATTACCATTTCCTTGTTCTTAAAGGATACATTACTAAGCCCTGGTGTACATTTTTTCCTCTTTGAAAAGGCAGCTAGACACACATTTTGTTTCTATGGAAAAGTGAGGCCTGGTCCAGAGTTCCCTGTTAAGATTAGATTTGATTTGACCCAGTGACTCTTCTGGACACAGAGTTGAAGGAATCAAAGGCTGCAGCAGCGCTATGATACTGGATCCTAAAATTATTACTCATCTATAAATGCATTTTACATGAGCTAAAGACTATTCAAAATTCAAGATAAGTAAGATTTCCAAGCTATGCCTACTTTGCATCCAATACACACAAGTTATAGCTTCCAGGGGTTGGATTAGCCATTCATAAAAGGCCACCTATGGTAGCAACTCTCTTCACAGCACACCATAATGAAGTTCCTCCTCTCCAATTCCCAGAAGTTTTTACCCTTGGAGCTGATTTATTCTAGGCTATCAGCCAACTGAATTCTTAAGCAGGAGAATGTTTGTAGCTAGAATTGTCAGGAAGCAGTATTCATCTCATCTCAGAGACAGTTTGGGACAAAGAGGGCAGGACAAATAGCATGTAGGTTTTAAAAAAGTTTCTAAGAAACACTTCTGGATTCATTCAATTTAGTGAAGAGGTTAAGGTTAGGAGCAAAGCCATTAGTGACTATCTTAAAATGTAATTTAATATTCAGGTTCAGGAAGTGAGAAACAGAAGAGAAACTATATAGGTCTCCTCTCTCCCCAGCTCGAGTTCTGAAAAGCAAGGCTGCTTTTGAGTGGGAGATCTACATTTCAGACTTCTTAGCTACTTTAATAATCCCTCTAAGGATGCCTGAGAAAGAAAGAAAAAAAAAAAAAAAGATATCCTGATTTAGATAAGCCCATTAGATCTACTCTAAAGGGAATTCTCTACTCAGAAGTCCCTGGTGCTTCAGCACTCACATTTAAAATAATTTCTCCTATATTTTTTCCATTTTTTAAAGAAGGAAAGTCTGCAGAGAGCTTTGCTGCTAAGAAGAACAAGAACATAAGCCTAGCATCTCAACCTAGCTCAAAAAAACAGCCTCTCTTCCCACCCCCCAGGACAATAAAGCAGCAACTGTGGTACCTGTGATTTTTATAGCAGGGCAAGGCAAGTTAACTGGGTTTAATCTGCAGCAGCTGAGGTGCTCCAAGCCCCAGTTAACATCTGCTCAGAATGGCCTTAATGACCTTGTCTTAGAGAGAGCCAGCAGCCAGTCTGGGGTTTTCCAGAAAAAGCAGGTGCCTTGGTTAATAATGCTTGATAAGGATGGAGACTCTTTTTACTTTAGTTTTAAATAAAGTTATTTCAACACACACACTGCTTCTATCATGAGTATTTATTACAGGCAAATCCCACAGGTATTTATATAGCTGTTGTTAAATTACACTCTGTGGATTTAAAATAGCTTTAAAAATGTGCACGCATAAATTAGCTGCCTTCTCTTTGCAAAACTGCAAGCTCAGCTATGAGAAAGGAATCCTTCAAAGAATACATGAGAGAAGAGGAAGCACTTCATTACAAAGAAGGAGTAGTCTAATTCTGAACTGACAAGACAGAGGGGTGTGATGGGAAAGATGACATTACTGTAGGGCAGACTGATAGCATTATTATAGATACCTAACACTTTGAGTTATAAGACCTTGCTTTCAATTGCGTATAGTTTTGCAACATTTTAGTCATTTCAGCTGAAATTTCCCACGATGGATACCTGCCTCAGGAGTCATTTATTGGTCAGTGTGCTTTTGAAAAAAGACTTGAAACAATTCTAACTGAGGAGTTTTTCGGCCATCAAAGGAGTCAAATGTTAAGGAGGGGTGGAGTCACAGTGGTTGTCTGGTTTCAGTGGTCGTTTAAGGAAGGAAGAAATATTGAGAAGATGGCAAAAGGGTCAGTTGGGAAAGAATCCCACTATAGTTGTGATATTGTTAGTAGAAGAGGCTAATAAGAGTTCCATGATAAAGTGCAGAAGTAGACCTTGGAAACAATGGAGCACAGTGTTTAGGACCAGGAAGGGGAATTTGTTGTCTGTCTCTACCTTTGCTTTCTAAGAATTCTCTCTGGCCTTAGAATGCTGCTAGGAAGCTACGCATTCCCCTGTTGGAGGGACAACTGGCCTTGAGCTCTTTATTAGGCCCTTTGCTAATTTGGAACCAGGTGGTGTTGTGGTGGCCACTGATTCATAGGTAGGTATGCAGAACACCTGTACTGATGCTGGCTGGTAGGAACAGGCTGCCATACCCTATGTACACTCTCCATGAGTGGCATATGGCAGGGAATGGGATTCCCAGGACAAGGAACACTCCCCCCCTGCTTTTCATAGCTTCATGGACAGTAAGCTGGTCCTAGACAGCCAGTCTCTTTAATCCACTAGTGCAGCCTCCCCACTTCTCTCTTTCCCCTATCTGCATTATCAACTGCCTGTTTCCAATAATCTTGCCCAGTTGTAGAGTTGAGCCATGAATTTCAGATTCTGCTCCAAGCCCCCCTGAGTCTGAGTATACTCAGACCCAGGGCAAGGTCCAAGCCCAACTTCTATCCATTTCTTCACTTCTTCATGGAGAAGCCTCTGTCACTCAATATCCCATTTTGCAGAGGAGCATCATGATGTGTACTCACTCCTCTCATCCCAGGCATCAGGGGATTCAGAAGCAGGCACTAAGTAGGATTTTCAGATGTTCCTGAATGTCTAACTTCCTTTGAAATTAACAGGTGACTTGTCAAAGGTCACTGAGTAAATCAGTGACAGACCTGAGACTAGAGCTTGGATCATTTGCCCAAGCTTTACCACTGAATCACAAAGGATTAGACTGGTTGCCCCTTTACTCTAGTAGGGTACAGTTGCTGATATGAACACCTTTACCGACTTCGGAAGGATTATTCTTATGAGCAGCTGCTCTCCAGTGGATCTCGCAGTCTGACCCAACAGGCTTTTCTATCACTAGCTTCTAATTAGAATCAGTTTATATTATATTTTTAGCATCTTATCCCCATAAGTGGAATAAGTGGAACTGGCCCTGAGAGGGAATTGTAGTCCCTAGGTCATAAATGTTTTCAAGAAATGTAGTTACGTGATTGATGCTGAGGATGGATTAATACTTATCCTGTAGCCTTTGGGAGCCATACAAGTCATGGCTCACACACACAGGCTTTTCCTTATCCCCATATGAAGTCACACATGCTCTAGGGAAGATACAAAGAGAAGGGACTCATTCAGCCTTGAAAGGAGACAAAGATCCAAATAATATGAAGCAAGTGCTAGGGAGATTTTTTTATTAGGATGGCAACTCTCCAGCTCTGGGCCTGCAGATCTCCCCGTAGCAGACCACATCAGTGGGGTCATTACAGCCCAGTAATGACTACAACTCTCACAGCAAATTCAGTCCTTTAGGATAAGAGCTCTTTTGCTGGATGTTAGCCAAGACCTACCCTTACTTTTGTTTCTGATCAATCCATGTTAATGGATATGAACCAAGTCAAAGCAACCCTTGCCTATGAGTTCTTACTGGATAATATTCACTGCCAGGTAGAGGACCTATAAGCTACTTATACTGCATTTAAGCGAGACTTTAAATGAGACTGAAGTGGCAGCCTTGAGTTAGGCCCCCTCTGCTGGTGGCAAATTCCACCTATGCAGGCCTGATCATGAAAAGAAATCAGGGGCCATTCAAACACAAACCATTTCTACTATCAGAGCGGGAGGACACTTGGAAACCATTGTTCACCTTGAACAATGGTAAATCTCTTTCAGACTGAATGTATATGCATCTCTTGTCCCATGCCTTGATGACTAGGGCTGCAATAGACTTTCCATTCTAAAACTGTATTGACAAATAGTTTCCCTGCATGTGCAAATAGATGAGCAATACTGAGCTTGTTACACAACATCACCATACATTACCTAAGCAGCATTATTCTACTTTTCTCCAAATCATTCTGTAATCCTCTCCATTTCTCTCATCTCTTTTGTTTTGTCTTGCCCCGGTTCAGTATCTTCTTCAGCAGCTACAGAGAAGAAACACTTGTTTACGGTATGGCAGCTATTAAAGGTCTCACTTAATTTGAACGCAGGGTGATTTGGGACATTTTCTCAGTACCAAGAAAATTGAATTCGTTCGAACATCGTTGCTCTGAACGAAATCCTGCATCAAGACTGTAATTTCTGTCCAAAGTCTAGCACTCGAGGGCATTCCGGGGACTGGCAGCTTGCTTCTCCTGTGTATCATCCTCATAAATACTTCAGAAATGTAGCAAATGCTTCGGTCTGCTTTAATGTACGGAAAGAAAATACAGGGCCACAACACAATGTCCTCAGGCCGAGCCCCTGGCACCGACTGCACCGGGCACCCGCTGAGACGAGCGGGTCGGTCGCACCAGACAGAGGCTTCGGGCCACGGGGCCGGGCAGGGCCCGGCCCCGCCCGGGG